AGGATCCCAGTTTGCTGGAGTGGGACGCCGGTAGGGACTGGGGGGGACTGGGAGGGAGTTGGAGGGACTAGGAGAGGACTGGGAGGGGGTTGGAGTGAACTGGGATATACTGGGATGGGAGTAGGAGGGGGTTGGAGGGGACTGGGAGACACTGGAATATACTGGGATGGGAGTGGGAGGGACTGGGAGAAGACTGGGAGGGACTGGGAAGGACTGGGAGGATCCCAGTTTGCTGGAGTGGGACGCCAGTAGGGACTGGGAGAGACTGGGAGGGACTGGGATATACTGGGATAGATGTCCCCTTGGGTGCCACCATCTCCCACCATCTCCCATTGGGTCCCACCATGTCCTGTGTCCCCCCAAGTGCCACCAGGTGCCACCAAGTGTCACCATGTTCCTTTGGGTGCCACCACCTCCCATTGGGTGCCACCATCTCCCACCAAGTCCCACTGTGTCCCACCACCTGCCATTGGGTCCCACCATGTCCTGTGTCCCCCCAAGTGCCACCAAGTGTCACCACGTCCTCTTGGGTGCCACCATCTCCCATTGGGTGCCACCATCTCCCACCATCTCCCATTGGGTGCCACCATCTCCCATCGTGTCCCATTGGGTCCCACCTCATCCCGTGTCCCACCACGTCCCATGAGACCGTGTCCCATTGGGTGCCACCATCTCCCACCATGTCTCCTTGGGTGCCACCATGTCCCGTGTCCCCCCACGTGCCACCAAGTGCCACCACGTCCTCTTGGGTGCCACCACGTCCCATTGGGTGCCACCATCTCCCACCGTGTCCCCTTGGGTGCCACCATCTCCCACCACGTCCCATCTCCCACCATCTCCCATTGGGCACCACCATCTCCCACCATCTCCCATCATGTCCCACCATCTCCCATTGGGTGCCACCATCTCCCACCACGTCCCATCTCCCACCATCTCCCATTGGGCACCACCATCTCCCACCATCTCCCATCATGTCCCACCATCTCCCATTGGGTGCCACCATCTCCCACCACGTCCCATCTCCCACCATCTCCCATTGGGCACCACCATCTCCCACCATCTCCCATCATGCCATCTCCCACTGGGCACCACCACCTCCCACCACGTCCCATCGGGTCCCACCACGTTCTACGTCCCACCACGTCCCATGAGGTGCCACCAAGTGCCACCACGTGTGTCCCCACCCCCCCTTCCTGTCCCCAGACGACTTCCGGATCTTCTGCGGGGACCTGGGGAACGAGGTGAACGACGACATCCTGGGCCGGGCCTTCGGGCGTTACCCGTCCTTCCTCAAGGCCAAGGTCATCCGCGACAAACGCACCGGCAAGACCAAGGGCTACGGCTTCGTCTCCTTCAAGGACCCCAACGACTACGTCCGCGCCATGAGGGAGATGAACGGTGGGGGACACCAGGGACATCGGGGACCTTGGGGACCTTGGGGACATCGGGGGCTTCAAGGACCTTGGGGTGATGGGGAGGTGGTGGCTTCACGTCCTTCAAGGAGGTGGATGATGATCTCGATGGGATGAGGGACATCAAGGGTTGGAGAACTTGGGGACTTTGGGGACATCAGGGACATTGGGGACATCGGGGGCTTCAAGGATATCAGGGACCTTGGGGTGATGGGGAGTGGTGGCTCCATCTTCTTCAAGGAGGTGGATGATGATATCGATGGGATGAGGGACGTCAAGGGTTGGAGAACTTGGGGTCATTGGGGGCTTCGAGGACGTTGGGGACATTGGGGACCTTGGGGATGTGGGGGACATCGGGGAGGTGGGGGACATCAAGGAGCTTGGGGCCATCAAAGACCTTGAGATGATGGGGAACATCACGTTCTTCAAGGAGGTGGATGATGATCTCAATGGGATGAGGAACGTCAAGGGTTGGAGAACTTGGGGTCGTTGGGGGCTTCGAGGATGTTGGGGACATCAGGGACGTGGGGGACATCGGGGATGTCGGGGACATTGGGGACATCAAGGAGCTTGGGGCCATCAAAGACCTTGAGATGATGGGGAAGGTCACGTTCTCCAAGGAGGTGGATGATGATATCGATGGGATGAGGAACGTCAAGGGTTGGAGAACTTGGGGACATCAGAGACGTTGGGGACGTGAGGGACATCAGGGATGTGGGGGACATTGGGGACATCAGGGATGTTGG